AAAGATAGACTCGAGCGCCACCTATGTGGCGTAAAAATGAACTAATATGAAACTTTCAAAAGATGGCGCTTTTAGTATTGAGCAACTTTGTAGAACATTGTATTGCTGTAGAAAGCAAACTAACGGCTTCGCTGCCCCACTGTGCGACGGTGATAAGTCTGTGACAGCCCTTGAAAATTTCATTGATTGTTTGCCAAATTATTTAATTTCAATGTAATTTCATGAAAATTTGTTGTCAGCATGGATGAATCTTGTACAAAATGCATAAAACTATTTTGTAATGCATTGTTCTTAAATAAAAAGCTACTTCAAGACTTATAAATCACTGAAAACATGTTAAGGTTTGAAAACATCTGCCGATTAAACAGCAGACAAAGTTGGCCGACTAAATCAATCGACGAAAAACTATTAAATAGGCCGATTGCTCGGTGTAGCACCAGACGAAAAACGATTTAATGTGCTGATTAATACACCGACTGAAATGAATTTTTAAGTGGCAATGGATTTAGTCGATGGACGCATCGGGTGATTTGGATGATGTTTGTTTATTTGGAAGATATTTTCGAAACAAAGCACGATAAAATTCGCATTGTATACCATTAATACGAGTACTAATTTTTTGCTCGGATCATGTTTTGACTTCCACAGAAACTCGCTAGAATGAATAGAAAATAATAGTTTTTTGGTGGAAATTTCAAAAATGTATTCAGTTTGACATATTATTTCGGACTTATCACCGCTGCGATTGCAGCGTCACGGTGGTCGATTGAAACATGGATTTGTCAATTGCCGTATGAAAATTCAATTCTTTATTGTGCTGCGGTGGTGGAAATAATACCATTCGTTGTGAGTGCTGCTGTCGGAGATCGGAGTTATTTTCCTTCGTGGTGCGGATTGCCGTGGTAGAACCGAGTTCCGATAGCACGCAGGAAGTGCATGAGGAAAACCCGTTGTTCGAAAGACCGTCCGAGTGCGCAGTAGCAGGTAACCTGCAATAGCCGTTTTCCAAGCAAACCGAATCTTCCGTGCTTCGGAAAATCATCTTCTCGAGAGTGAGTGTCAGGATTGCCACGCAGATCGAGCCGAAACGCGGATTAGACAGCTGGGTTTGACGACTGGGGATTTCGATACAGCTTCGCGTCACAAGATCGGTACACACCAGTGTACGGTTCTTGGAGGGAATCGGTCGAAATCGGTCGTCGACAACCGGCGAGAGAGCGCGGAACTACCCTACCTCTGGAATACACGGTAAAGTGACTACAGTTAAGATTTATGCGGTGCTGCAACTAACAATGTGTCAAACAATAACACAGATTGGGAATCGAGCACCCTGACAAGAGACACGTGGTTTCGTGTTTTGCAGGTTCGATTCTCCCATCGATTCGGAGTGGCGCAGACGAAGGCGGTTCGATCAACAGGGCACGTTTCGGCTATGCAGCCATCTTCCGAGGGCGGTCTACGAAGCTGCACGTACGACGGTCAGGAACACCGTTGCCAAGAGGCCGACCAGAAAGCGAGGTTCATAGCCACCGCCAAGAGACGGTCACTTCGAGGACGAAACGAAGTCGTGGCCCTTCGTGAGACGGATGAAGCATACGCGTCAGATGACGACCAGGAACACCGTTGGCAAGAGACCGACAAGGAGGCGAAGTGCATCACCACCGCCAGAGACGGTCAGTTCGAGGATCGTGGCGCTTCGCGAGACTGACGCAGTATACGCAATCTGTCGGACCGATAGTTTCGAGTGACACTCGACGAAGCAGGTCGGCGGACACGACGGACGGGAAGTACCTAAGGGTGCTGAAGAGTGGTCTTCTATCAACGGAGGAGGAGAAAACATCGATGTGCACCCGACCGGTAACAGTGAGTACTCACAAGAAGAGAAAATATGATTTGAAAGATAATAGGAGGCACCAAGATGCCGTAAGAGCAGGATAGTAAGGTAGTAGGAAAGGATGAACAACTCCAATGTGAGGGACCAATGGGGGGATTCAAAATATAAGTATAAAAATGCATTTTGAATTCGTTTTAGGATTTGTTGGAACCTTTGCCCTTTAGTATTTGTGCTTTTGTCCGCCTCTCGGTAATTTTTGCTCTACCGCTACAGGAGCCGTTGCAACATTCTTTTCTTACAGTTGAAAAAGAATACACAAGGCGGTATTGAAATCTTGCGTAAAGTAATTTATGAAAAACCGTCGTTTCCAGCTGTTTTATTCAATGGGACACCGTTTCTTTTTAATTCATTCAAAATACACACAAATCAATATTGAAAGATACCATTAACGAAGGTTTTGCCAAAACATCTAGTGGCATAGTCAAATATCAAACAGAAAAGTACGGTTTCGTACTCCACACTGAACAATCTCAAACAATCACTACATGCTCAAAGCAAAACACGCTATTTTGCTGCGCCTGTTTTGATTTGATTTCAATGGCGCAAATTTGCATGGCAAGAAAAACAAGTATACAATGAATTCCGTGCGTGCTATCTGCTTCTCCCTTCCAGAGTCAAAGTAACAGTGAGTTAAACTTAAAAAAGAGGGAATTCATTCCGTACTCCTCAAATGGCTTGAATCATATTTAACTAATTGCCATCAAATAGTAAAATAGCGGCGTCGGTGGTGTAGTGTTAAGCGTAATTACCTCTCACCCCAGCAGGCCTGGGTTCAATCCCAGTCGGCACCGCCGGGATGTTCTGAGGCATGTTCTAAGGCATAAGGGAAGTAAATCCGTTGGTCCCCGGTTCATGAGTTGATGGGTCGATAGGTAGGGTCCAGGTGTGGGAGCTGCCTCCCTGGCGTCGGTAGCATTGGAAAACAAGATCGACGGAAAACAAATCCAGGAAAAAACAAAATAGTAAAATACAAAGGAAAGACATCAAATCCCGTTGATGACACTTCTGGAGTTCCTCAAGGCTCCAATTTAGGATTTCTTTTATTTATTCTATGCTGACGATATTGAACTTTTTTTTGGAAATAATAGACGCCAGAGACATTAACACATTAAAAAAAATGTGCACTTAAAATCAAAGGTGTACCACCGATGAATCGCTAAAAAGCTTGGAATTGCAAATACAACTGTGTCTCGTGTGATAAGAACCTTCAAGGAGCGTTTGAGTGCCCGAAGGAAGGAAGGGAGAAGTCGTAAAAGTGGTACCAATGGACAGTAAAATGGCCAGGAAAGTGGTGCAACATTTCAAGAACCGTCCAAACATGTCAATTCGAGATGACGCTAAAAATTCCAAGGTGTCAGTCGGTTTTGTGCAGAAAACCATGAAGCGTGCTGAGTTATATGTTTACAAGGTGCAGAAAGCCACAAACCGGAATGAAAAGCAAAACATTACTGCGAAAACCCGCGCCCGGAAACTTCACACCCCAAATTGTGTTGCGTCGTGATGGATGATGAAACTTACGTCAAGGCCGACTTCCGTCAACTTCCTGGGCAAGAATATTTCGTTGCCAAGTCTAAATTCGATGTTCCTGAGGATGTTCGAAAGTAGAAATTATCGAAATTTGCAAAGAATTTCCTGATCTGGCAGGCGATAATTGATTCAAGAAAATCCGATTTTTATTGAATACACCCTTTATGCTGATAAATATCCAAATATTAAAAGAGCATCGTGAATTTGCTATGATTTCATTCGTAAACGATCCATCCTTAAATTTATATACACCATCTCGGCATCTACGAAATAGAAATATATTTGCTACAAACCACCATCGTACGAATTATGTCAAATTTGGACCCTTGAACCAAATGATGGGCACATACAATAAGCACTGCGATAATATTGACTTAACAATGACAAAAAAGCAAATTAAAGCAATATTTTAATTCCTCGCGTAGTCGCGTAACGTCTGCTGGCAGGAGTTTTTTTTTTATTTGTTTTGAAGACATATTTTAATTTATATAACAAAGACAAAATTGTGAAAATAGCACTTAAGGTGTTTCGCTGTAAGATCCTTATTCTAGTTATCACTTCGAGTTTTTAAGTGCACCAATATCAGCATTCAGGACACGTACAACAATGAAACTGTTATTCAACGTTTGCTGCGCTGCAGCATACATAAAGTAGCAATTTCAGGTGCAATGAGGCACTAATTTCTGAGATTTGTGTTATTGAAAATTCGAAGTGGAAGTGCATGTATAGCCCTCGTAGCGGCCATTTGTGGACTCTACAGGGAATCACCTTAAGGCAATTATTGTAAAATGGTCTACACTGATTGACGACAAACAGAATAAAACATAAAAGGTGGGAAAAGATAGAAATGGATGATTTGCTATACCTATATACCCTTTTCCATGACCTACATAATCTAGATGTAGATACTAAGTATCACTTTTTACTGTTAACTGTAACCTTATCATTCCCTTTTTTCACATTTGCTGAAGAGAACATTGATTCTTGATTCCATTCAAGGAAATGACTGTTTTCAACAATTTATCAAGTAGGCAAAACATTCTACGGATTTAAAGGCTATTTGCGTCCCTAAGTGAACCCTCCGTGCAAGATGTAGTAGTAGAGGTGGCACAGGACTAGCGGCGGTTGGCTAGTTATTTTCCGTTATTGTTCATGAAAATTACACTATTTTGTAATAAGAAATACGAAAAAAAAATAAATGTACGAACGGATTTGGACAGGTTTCGCCTTGTTTCATACGACCAGAGGGTGTATGCTGGTCACAATTCACAATTGCCTTACTAAATTGATTTCCTACGCAAGTGATCAATATTTGATGTGAATTTTGCGAATAAACACGGGGAGCATTTCTTACAGCAAAACTTGCCATACGACATGCTCATTTTCGTCAACAAACTAACACTAAGTGCACCTCACCCACCGTGTCCTATTCCTTTTATGAGTTCAGTCTAAACCTTTAATTTCTTATAATCGTCAAGGGCCACGCACAATGGATCCGATTGTGAGATCAGTTCCGGCAAATTTGACAGACTGCCTACCAGCATGGTGAAAATGATGCCAGGAACCGTATCAAACTCACCTTGCACTCCTTGGAGTTGGTCTGCCAGACGCGAACCGAGTGATCATTTGAGCAGGACGCCATCAGTGAACCGTCCACGTTGACCCGCACCATCCGGACCCATTCCCGGTGGCCGGTGAAGGTTTTGACGCAATACCCGGTGGCTACTTCCCACATTTTGATGGTTTTGTCCCGCGATGCCGACAGTAGATAATCACCGGCCGGTACAAACGACACGGACGAAACGTTGTGATCGTGTCCGTGCATGGTTTTGACGCATTCGAATGTCTGCTGGAAGTCCCACAGCTTGATCGACAGGTCCGAACTGCAGGAGGCTGTTGTTGGAGGGAAAATAAAGATTTAATAAACGTCTCAACGAAGTAGTTCAGCATAGCGAAATACCAACCTAACAGTTTTCCTTGTGAATCAAATGCCAGATCCTGAACGGAATCTGTGTGACCTTTCAGCGTCCGCTCGTATTCGCCCGTTTCAAAATCCCAGATTTTGATCGTGGCATCTTCGGACGCCGAAGCCATCATACTGAAAACGGGATGGAACACCACCCGTGTGACTGTTGCTCGGTGCCCAGCGAGTGCGAATTTCTCCGGTGGCCGCGGTATCCAATCGGTGGGCGTACGTTTGGCCTTTGTAGGTGCACCCTCGATGGCTTCCTTCTCGGCTTCGGACAATTTTGCCTCCAGCTCCATTACTTTCTTCTGTAGCCGTATCACTGAGGTCCACTTCTTCTCCAGCAGTCCACCGTACTTCCGTTCGATCTCGTTCGGCATATCTGCCTCTTTTCTGAAAGCCTCCAGCGCGTCTGTGTATCCATTGCTTCCTAGGTAGTCGGCAATCGCTTGGTTACTGGAAGGAAGGAAGAAAAACGAGTGGTCATTTAGCATGCTTTTTTTAAAGGTCTACGTTGATAGTGACTATTCTAGAGGGTCGAATGATATATTACACCTGTGCAGATTTTTTACCCGTGGCTATTTAGCGGAAAGATGTAGGATTTGTTTGTCGCGTTCGTACCGACGAACCAGGTCATTTAGATTTGCTGACGTTGTTATGATTTTTTAACGACTGTATAATTAAGATTCCTTCAGCTTTACTCCCCTAGCACTTAATCACAATGCCTAAACGTACGGACGGACAGCACACACGCACACTTGAGGGTACCAATACCAGACACATGTCCATTCATCGTGGTCGTGTCGAACAAGCGGAGGACAATAAGGCAAAATTTGTCTTGTGGATAATAAACCTTAACCGTAACCTTGCCCGAGAACTACCGCGTAAACTGTGCGAAAAGTGAATCGAGTGGGAAAACTGCCGGGTGGTGTGGCGTTGATTTTTCGTGTTCTCACTCCGTGGTGTGAGAAAAAACAACTTAATCAATTTAAATGCACCTAATTCTAGGAATATTAGAGTCGGACCCCAAGTCAGATTTGGGTGGTTCTGTTCACACAGTTTCTAAGGTTGACATATTGCATCAATCTAAAGTGCATGGTTTGAGATAATTAAGTCATTCTAATTAGCGCTGTTTTCAAAGGCTGCGTCGCATTCGTGATGGTGCAACGCGAAAGATAGTGGATACTGCGTGCAGTTGGTGCGGAATTTTGTAATCGTTTATCACTGCTGCTCCGGCTACCTGGCAACCGTTGTTATTGGTTGACCGAACCGGCTGTTGAGGTTATTCGATCAAAACTGATCAAAGACTTTTTAATTAGTGAATGTCTGATCGGCATAAGCAATCATAGTTTGCATATGGGCATGCAGTTGATGCTAATTTTAAAAGTTGACTGCCAAGATCGATAAACTTGTAGGATGCATGGAATTACAAATCGGAAATTCTAGCCAGTTTATTGGGATGATTGCACGGTGTAGACGGGGCCGGATATTAATAGCGAATTGAATCTAGGATCCTCAGTACTTGTTTAAATAAAATGATATTTGAAAATAGTGATTTTTCTAAAAAAATATTTAGAATAAACTTAAAAAAAAAAAAAACTATCAAAATTACCCCGTTTTACGGCATCTAGTTTTCAGGTTAATTTATGAAGAATTCCATGATAATTCAGAGCAGACGCCCAAGTTAATTCTGAAATTCCTATCATACATTTTTTAAACAAAATTGCATGGTTATTTTGATGTCGAATTGAAATCAAAAATAAAACTCCGGAAAAGTTTAGTTGCGTTTCAAATATTTTTTACGCAACTTTTGAAACCTCATGCACTTTACATCGGAAATTGGAATAGGACGAACAATAAATTTGAAATATTGCCGAGTGATTAAATTCTAAAAAATAAGATGGGAAACTGATGAAATTTATTTAGTAAAAAATAGAAAACCGCTCTGTAGAGTTTATTTATTTTTCCCAGTTACTTTTCAAATTTTCGGTTTTCCCTGATTTTCACAGTTTGCTGGCTTTCGTTAAAATAGTCTTTAAAATTAAAGTCAAAGTTTTACCAAACGTTCAACTATTGAGATTTCGGTAAAAAATTACCGAACACGACCATTTTTAATTTCCTTTCTCAGAATTCCTTTGGAATTATGCCCTAACAATTCTTAAACCCGATTTTTAACGGATTTACCTTCGAACTTTCTGTATAATTCACTTGAAATTATCTTTCTTATCTCAGAATTCAATACCCCTCGGAATTTCTTCGGAGTTATCATAACACTCTTCTCAGAATGTTCATTAGAAATGGACCTGTAATCCTCTATATAATACTCATGGAATTTCCCATAGAACCACCTAAAAGTTCTTCTTTGAACTGACTTCACGTTCTAGTCAAAACACTCTAAGAGTTCTTCCAAAAACCCCTTTGGAATTTTTATCTGACATAAAGTCTGGAACGCGCAAAAATTGGTCAACTTCAAATTGGTGTATTGCTGTTAAAATGCATAACAAAAAACCAGCATTTGGAAGTTGAGTGTATATACAATGGTTGATATGATGAGTTTTCACCGTTTGCTCTACAGTTTTCAAAATGACGTCCAAGCAAGAGGAGCAGCGTGTCAAATTTTTGCTCGCGCAGCAAGAGAATCCGACGTTCTCACACGAAACTTATGTGAAGGCGGATTTCAAGCAGCTTCCGGGACAGGAGTTTTATACCGCATCAGGAAGAGGCAAGGTGGCTGAAAATTTAAAAGCCATCAATCTATCGAAGTTCCCGAAAAATATCCCGTCTGGTAGGCCATATGCACGTGTGGTCTAAAAAGCAGAACTCCGCCCTATCGAACGGTATTGGACCTTGGTCAAACGGAATCTAAAAAAAAAACTAATAAATCCATGGAAAACGAGCATCAGTTTAAATCTAACTGGCGTTCGGCGGCGAATAAGGTCGATGAGACCACTGTGCAAAATTTAATGGAAGGGGTTAAGTGGAAGACATGGCAGTCCGGATTTGGCAAACCAAAAGAATAAACGAACATTTTGACGTAGGACTACGTCTGTGATTTCTATATAGGGGTAGGGTAAACGCTCCTATAGTTGCGGTACGTTAGAAGCGTTAGGTTCCTATTGTTGTGTATTGAGTCTACATACACAACAATAGGAACCTAACGCTTCTAACGTACCGCAACTATAGCAGCGTTTCCCCTACACTTTGTGAAAACCGAAAATGGAACATGTAACGAAATTATGAAAGATTTTGAACGTTAATAGCTCAGTTGCCCCTGGAACAATTTCAATAATTTTATCACCATTCGATCAGAATTTCCGACTGTTGATTTTCAACAAGAAACTATTGAAAAAGTTGTAAATGTCAAGCATTGTCCAAAAGCGTCGAAATAGCTAACAAATCCACCCATTACGTAATGCCTATGTTGCTTTCTCAACACAGTCATCAGAGAATCGTTTCTAGACGAAACATGTCAATGTTGTTGACAAGCTTTAGCTGGTCACTTATTTTCTACGGCCTTCCAACCTGTCGCAGACATCAGTTTAACCCCTGTTCAGCAGCAGACGGGCCGGGACTCTTGCGAGTGCCCAATCATTGAACCGAAAGATATGGGATTGTCCGGTTCGATTTGCTGATCCAGCTACCTGTACTGCCATCGGCCCTTTTCAAGGCCACCAAGATTTTCCAAAGAGTTAAATTTCTGAACATGTCCCAACTAAAATTCACATCAAAAGGTTCTTTTCAGGGCAATCCTAGCCATACTAAAGAGTATAAACAGAGAGAACCCCGCTCAAATCCCTATTCCTTCACAAAACCCAAGCTCCAACTGCAGTTAACAAATAACATTTATTATATAAGACCACGTAGTCTTACATCACCATTGCGTACAACCCCATAGGGCTGTCCCTTGTAGTTTTTCCTTTAAAAATATGAATTAAACTACCAAAAGAAAAATAAGAAGATTTTTTTGATATGAATTTTGACTGAAAGAAACGATTTTTTTGTCGACTAATTTTTGCGCGTTCCAGTCTTTACCTAGTTGTTATCTCTAGAATTCATTCTAAAATCTCTAAAACTCTCCAATTAGCTCTTGAAAGTGATTGTCAGGGCTGGTAGCGATCAATGCTGTCAAAAATAGTGATTTTAGTGACCATGTTGAAGAAATATTGGTCACTTATTCTCATAAACACTTAAAGATGTACGATAGGAACCTTGAAAGCGAAAAATTCAATAGAAAGTTTATGACCAAACCTTCAAGTGTCTACTGCCTGGAAAAACCTGAAATACTGGGAGTTCTCAGTTTGCTTCTCCTGAAAATACCTGGAAGTCTCAAGGAATTTAAAATATTTTTTTGCTAAGGATATTCCAAAGAAAAGAATGAATTATAAATAAAAACATTCAATATTCCTAGTTATTTTCATTCACACATTTGAAATCGGAGCATAAGTCCTCGTAATGTTTTATTGAATACTAAGGGTCACCCCCAGGGATGTTAAAAGGAGGATTACAGTTAAGTCTGAGAATAACTCTAGGAGATCTTCAAAGAAATTCGGAAAATAACTCCAGGAGAGACTGCCAAACAAATTAAGGGGAGAAAATCTAAGGAATTTGTGAGGAGAAATGAAAATGAATTGAAGGCTTTCAATGTGAGCAGAATTCCAAGGGAAGGAGTGTGATTAAAAAAGAAATCTGAAGTGAATTCAATGAAAATTCTGAGAATCTTTCCATAGTATTTCTTACTGAGGTTCTCCAAGGAAAATTAAAAGATTCGGAGGATAGTTGCGATAAGCATTCTAACTATATTCTTGTGATATTTTTTAGAGAATTCAGAGAAGCGTTCCAAGTGAATTTCTAAAATAATTTCATAAGAGTTTCGGGAGAATACGAGCGAATGATGAGGAGAACTCCAAGTGAATTTGCATGAGAAATCTCGGTTGAATATGCAATCAACTATTCTGAGGTCTTCAGAACAGCTTGAAAGTTCCCAAAATATTCATGAAGTTAATGAAACTGTCTTGAAGTTTTTTTTGTAGTGTGAGAAACTAGCCTGATGCTCGCAATACTTCTCATCATTGTTTTTAACTTCTCTAAACTTTCTCGGACTTCCTAAAGTTTCCACAATTTTCTTAACGATCATGAATCTTCTCTAAAGTTATTACAATTCACTACGCTCAGGATATCTGCTATTTCTTGAAGTTTTTTTTAGTATTTTAGCGAGATCAATATCTTTCTTGAAGTTCTCGAAACTTCAGTGTTTGCAGTACTGATGAAGCTTGTTGTACTAACATGAATTTAATTGAACTGTTTTAAAAATGTTAAGCTTCCGTGAAAACCCGACTTATGTGAAAACCTAAATAATTTTCTGAACAGGGAGCGACCCCAGCGTAATTGTTAGCATCCATACCTCTCACGCCAAAGTCACGAGTTCAAATCTCAGGAACTTGATTAAGCTCTCGCAA